GTTGTGGGCCAAAAACATGACAAAATTTCGGGAATTTCGGACGCCATTTCCCCCGCGCGACATCCGCAAAAATCCTCGCAGCATGTACGCGCGTGTGCATCAGGCGATGGCGCAATTTGTTCTAAAAATAGAATTATTGTCCCATATCATGGGTACAACCCCAATACTAGAAATGGCGCGCGCTTACGGTCTCCGTCCCCGATTATGGCTCCTGTTTTCCGTCAATTTTTTTCTTCTGATATACTGAAAACATTTAAAGTCTCGGTTAACTTAAATGTTCTACGACACTGGTGATACCTAACCAGAACTGAGATTTAACCAATAACAAATGTTAGAGACGGAGCCTCGCTGAAAGAGGGCCGCGAATTACGTTATGTAGTTGTGCGCGCGCTGCATACTGTAAAATTCAGATAATACCACTTGGGCTCGTTTCTCGAAAGTCCCGGATACTTTTCGGGCCGGCAAAGCCATTTTTAGTTAAACGGTATTTAAAGACAGAGAGGTGTATACGCCTGAAACTTCTTGTTTGAAGGGAACCTCTGTTCATATTAAGAATATGTGCATAAAACAGCTATGTAGTCATAAGTTTTGAGATTTTGCTACGGCTTTTCAGGTGCGAAAACTTTTTGGGACCTTCGAGAAACGGGCCCCTGGGCCGTTAAAGGTTTTTGAAGGCTTTAAAATACCTGTTTGGAGGAGCGAGCGTAATGGACCTACTGTCTCGATATTGTGGTGAGGTTAACAAAAATATTGCCTTAAAAAAAAAAATGCTTGGTTTAATATCTGGGAAAGACTGGAAAGGATGTTGTACCTGAAATCTTCGACGTGCGCACTAAAATAAGCAAAATAAAACGCTCTAAATATACAATATGAAACACGAGTCATACATGTAGTGTTACTGACCAAGTGTGATGTCAAGATGGCTACATATTGGCCAAGTTCTTGCTGTTTTTTGAACAAGGCCAGTATCCAGCCATCTTGACCGAACACGCTTGGTCAATAAAGGATTTATTACATGGAAAAACAACACTATTTTCTTGCGGGACACAGCAGGTAATCCCGAGCGCGCAGATCAACACTATTTTCATTTTCTATTGTCTTTACCCCAATTAAACGGCCACCCAATATTTAAAAACTTTGTTATGGAAAGGGCGATGGAGATAAAAGTCTAAAATTGAAGGTGAGGAATGATAATTCAAACACACGTCTATCATGATTGTCTTGAATTGACCATTCTTCTACAATTCAACCACCGAAGCTTAATCCATTTGAAGGTTTCGCACATGGTGAAAATCAATTATATTCGCGAAGTACTTTTAACTGAATGAATACATGTCTTCGAAATTTAATTATTTTGCACCCAAAAAGCAACGCTACATTTCCCAAAATCAACCCAGTACACATTTAAACGTTGCACAAAAATATTTGAGTGTTTAAAGACGAAAGAACAATGTGGTTTTGTATGCGAGGCTCTCAAACTTGTTTCATAAAATGGTGCGTCAAATGACGATTTTAACGGAATTTGGTAATTTGCATTTTTCTTTAAAATAAAAGGATATTTTGCCAAAAAAAACTATCCAGTAGTTTTTGTCATGCCCTAGCCTATCTACCATAGAGCGAAATCAAATTTTCGACCCTTGCCAAGTTATTTTTCGTATTTATGGACAGAGACTAAAATTAACTACAAAAGGAATCCGAATTTTTTATTGGATGAGATCGGGCACCCGTGCGTATTTGTAATGAAGACTATATCTTCGCTTTCCGACGCCCATGCATAATAAAACAGCTTTACTGTTAAACTACTCCCTCTTGGCAATAAACCCGAATAAAATTCTTTTCAGGTGCGAGCTTCTGACAAGTTTCTCTTTTCTCGCAGTATATGCTGTATATTCAAAGCACACAATCGCAACATGTAATGCATTCCTTTGTGCAAAACACATTCTCATAGCTGGAATGAATTTTAATGTAGGCATATAAAGAGGTGTAAAATGACACACTCAGTTTAGCGTCGGTCGCCGTTGCATTGCAAGAGCGAGAACATCTTCATCGATATGCTTTCTTCAGGCACGTTTATGTTTCCTCTTTCTCTCTTGAGTGAATTCCTTTTGAACTACAATTAGTTGTTAACTTTTCCTTGAGTTCCCCTAGCTTTTCAACTTTAGCCTTTTAGTGGTTCGATATTGCCTTCACGCTGTCTAAGTTTTGAGGTCACAATGAACATTTATTCTTAGGTGACACCGAAGACTGAATCATGATAAGTAAAGTTGATCATAAAATACCGAGTTACTAAAGTTTTATCCGCTTTATCGCCGTTCCTTCTCAAGCACGACCATTTACATTTTCTCCCAAACGATGAAAGGGGAAAACTCTCTCCTCGCTTGCAATTACTTTGACAGAAAGAGAGCATTAATTCATATTTGAAGAAAATTCCAGTCAGTTCTCTCAACCTTGCTAGTAGTCGTTTACAAGTTTCATTCCACATAGTTCAGCAACACTGCTGATCATACTTTACAACTATGCTAAGTTAGTTANCAACAGCAAGTTTATTCTTTGACGTTGGTTTTTAAAGTTCGCTGCTTTCTTCTTAAGGAAAATACAAATTTAAGTCGGCAATTTTTCGAATGAGCGAACGACTATTTACCAACGATACAAAGCTATTTGTTCAAAGTTGCATTCAAGTTCGATTTAATTGTCTCTCTGAATACCGTAAAGAACCAAAGCCTTAGTTCGAAAAGCAGAGGTTAGGTACGCTAATGGAAAGCTGAAAGTCTCAGTTTTAATGGCTAACAAGTTTACATATTTAGAAGTCTTAATAATACTTATTTGTTTTATGATATGAGATTCAGTAGTCAAACATTTTAAGCTTAACTGCGTTTTAATGATTTCCCAAACTTATACAGATCCTTTCCCGGAAAAAATTAAAATACGTTTTCTTAAAATTAAATTTAGCTGTACTGGTCGCGTCTTCTACCACCAGTTTAAACAGAACAAGCCCATGGGTGGGAAAACTGTTAACTTCCTTGGGATCACAACGAGAGAATTCGAACTCTCCATTGCTCACAATCCATACGTATCACACTGTGTGACAACTAGCATAGGCTTCTTCTTCTGTCCTTGTAGCATTCAGACAAGTGCCTGGTTTCATAGGATTTGTTTTTATTTTCTCGCGTCCATGGTTTTGGCAGTGAACTAAAGATTGGTCCTTATATTTCATAATAATTAAGATTTCTAATCCTGGTTTCAGACTTGTCAATCATAATAGTCTTAGAGAGAATATTGCAGAATGAGATGCAAAAACAGTAATTTGTGAATTATCTAAATGTAAATAAGCATAGACTGCAATATTGTTTCTTAACTGTGGCAATCTGTTTGGCTAGTTTGTAATCAGGTCTAGCAAATAGTAACTTTAAGACCTCGGGACAAAAATATTTTCAGCTAGTGTAGGACTTTCTTATTCTGGCAAATGAATAAGAAATCAAGGCTCTGAGGTAACATTGTTTAGTTCTAGAAAATATCCATACCTCCCCCACGGAAGGGATTTTTTGCAAGACCCCCTACCCCTCTGAAAATTCCAATTAAACTTGATACATTTCTTTAAATTTTTTGGTCGTAGAGAACCCCCCACCCCCCCAGGAAATTCTAATCACTTCTGTGGGCAGAGTATGGATAATTTCTGATACTGCACATTGGGAAATAAAAATTCCAAATGGCAAGGGCTAGCTGTGCAATTATCTGGCATTGGCTTTGTTCTGCCTGACAAATTGGGAGCAGCCAGAGGGATGGGGGAGGGAGGTAGTGTTCCAGTATATACCTGAAAACAAATTACCTGTCATACGCAGCATGCAGGACATGCAATGCAATGCAGGAGAGAGCATGCCCTAGACTGAGATGTGATCCATAATCCATATACTACGGTATTATTAATATAGCATACATGCAAACCCTGTGGTTAACCCTGATAAATTTGACAGTTTAGGATTGGTTTAACCCTTTACTCCCTAAGTGTGCCATTTGGCACACAATGTCATAACTTTGTGAATATTTGAGAGATTTCTATGCATTTTTGCCACAAAAATTGTCTTGTAAAGATCTGCTCATTGAAGGCATAAAATTGTGACCCCCTTTTATCTAACACGTGGTAGACCACCCTCATAATTTTCCAATTTCTCTTTTGAGATGCACATAGAATGCAAGACTTGTTTCACATCAAGCTATATACTAAGACCTGCTAAGGAAGCTATAGTGTAGGGGCATACCCATGATATTTGAGAATTGATACGTGTTGGAAGCTTTTCAGCTTCACATTTAAAACAATTTTTCTCAAAATGACTACCTCCTTCATAGCTGCTGATGTCAGTTCTTAAATAAGCTGATCAGTCAACAATTTTGCCTCTTCCATTCATTTTTCTCCCTGTCTGAAATGATTTTTAATTTTTGACTTACTTTAAGGTGACCCCGAAGTGGGAAAATCCAGCATATTTTTACGCTACACCAAGAATCAGTTTGACTACAGTTATCAGCCCAGTGCTTCTGTGAGTATTGGGAATGTTGTGAAGCATGTCAACATCCCTTACGAGACTATTGTGTCTGTGGCATTATGGGATCTTCCAGGTCGAGAGGAAATGGACTTGAGAAGAAGTTATTACAAAGATGTGGATGCTGCTATTGGTAAGAATTAACTTTCAAATTGGTAGTAGTGTATGTTGATGTCAAGGCCCTGGGAGTGGACAGGGGCGGTTACTCCCTATAATGGCCTATACAAGGAGGCTCTGCCCTATAGAGGAACCTTTTTCAAGCTTCAGGTATATAAAAGGGTAGAGATTTCACATGTTGAGAGAGATAAAAGGGTAGGGGAAAATGTCTTTTAATTATTTAAAAGGGCCTTCAGTTAAAATGTTTCAAGCAGACACACGTTATCACTATATGATTTAATATATTAAGCCCAATATGAAAATGACAAGAAGACTTCCTTTTTTTTGGTAATTTATTAGTAATAATATGGGCCAGGTATTCCTATTCAAATTAGCAAATTAGTAATAATATGGGCCCTTCCTATTCAAATTAACAAGACACTTCACCCACAATTATCCCTGTTCCTCCTCCCTCTCCCTTGAGCCTAATTTGCCGAGATATAAACGCAGTCAATACAATTGAATCCCACTCAAGGGACACCCATTAAATATGGACACCTGCTTATTATGGACAGTTTTGTTTGTCCTGACATACAGTTCAGACATATTTTTCCCCTTATTTTTGTTAGTTAAAGTTAAGGCATTAAACATAATCCAATTGCTTTTAAACTGTGTTAAATAGTCCTTAATCTGTTTTAGTCTTACTATTGTGGTCATTTAATAGCAACACCCCAATAATAGCAAGTTCAACACTTTTGTGGTTCCCTTAAGTTGGTGTCTGTATTTACTGGGTTTTTCTGCACACATATTTATACGTATTTGGTGTACATCTCTTGCAGTTGTTGTTGATGTGGATGATATTGACTCTGTAACTATGGCAGGAACTTGGAAGCAAGACATTGTCAACAATGCGGTGTTCACTGCTAATTCTGGAAATTTACAGGAGGATACTAAAGATTCTAAACAGATACCCATTTTGCTTTTGGGTAACAAATTGGATAAGGTATATAAAGAAACTGGTTTATATTTTGGTTAAAAACAATGCTCATGACTGTAATCTTTTAGCATTTCTTATGCATGTTTTTGTGTTACCTAGTTTTTTTCCAACTGGCTGCAGGCACATACATGCACCTGTAACATTTTGCTACCACTGTTAGGTCAAAAGTGAACCAATCAATAACATGACCAAATGTTTTTATAGTTATGCAATGTTCACTAAAGATTTCCATGCTGTCAATTCCCATAGGCTACTTTTGACCCGACATCCCTAGAAAAATAACAGACCTCCACCTCTCATGGGTTGTGTGACTGAGAATCGGATAGTTACATTTGTTTTGGGAAGTCCTTTGAAAATTGTAGGCAAGTTATTATTTCATTACATTAAAGAATGATTCTGGGCCACTCCTCAACACTCAGAGAAGGTTTGGCTATGTTATAAATTTCCTCAATTTTGCAGCTTAAATATCAAAATAGTGGAGAGGAGAACAATGAGGATGAAGAACTGATCAATTTAGAGTCAGTGCGAGCACTGGAGGGCGTGGCTTTGCAACATGGCTTTGTTGGAAGGTTGGTAATCAGTCCAACTACTATCCCAAGGGTTTCATTAAGGGCCAGGCACTGTGCGAATTAACCAGCTACATACCTATATAGCCCATATAAGGGAGTACCCCCAAGGAGAGGAACATGGAACACCATATTCTATTTAATTAGTAATAAATACTAAAGATGTCCATTATTGCATACATTTACTCTCCCTCCTGTTATTATGGAAAACTAAGTGTAAAATTATAGCTTTTTATTATTATTATTATTATTATTATTATTATTATAGCTATTGTTTTATTTGCTTGTTTTGCATAATTTTGTTTGAAAATGTCAAAGACAAGTACTGTGGTCAAGACTAGCGACTCGTATTTAAACTGGTGTGTGTTTTGTTTCAGTGTTACAGTGTCAGCCAAAGAGAGTGATAACAGTGTCCATGCTGCAATTCAATCTCTGGTACGACACCTATTACAACAGAAGATGAAGAAAAAGAGGTTTGCTGCAAAAGGAGGGAGGTTTACTAAGAATGAGGAAGAGATGGAGGAGAAAAACTATGTCACCATAAGTCCTTTGGAAATTACAGAAAAAAAGGAGTTCATACCACTTATTGTTACTAAAGTCCCTGAGGTAATTAAATTTACTACTTGCAATAAGTTGTGACTTCATAATGGATGATTTAGAAGTTAGTGGCAACACTGTGAAAGACAAAGATGTATGAGAATTTGCAGGATAGACATTGATTGTACTTTGTACAGTTATGTACTGTATGTACTCAAGTTTGGACTTGAGCCATGTGAGATTTTGTAAAAACCCTTATGAAGTTGTTTAAGCCCAGGGCTTATAAGCGGCAGTTTACAGTAGTTGATGGGGAAGCATGTTTAAATATAGTTTACTTACCTTCTTATCATTTGCCAATATGTAAATTCAAGTTGATTACCAAGGTGAAGTGCAGCTTTGTTGACTGTGAAACTATTTGATTTCTTCCTTGCAGTTTGATGTGTTCTTTGCTGAATGCAATACACCCATCGAAACAGTGCAGAACACAAGTACAGAGCTTAAGGATGCCATGAGCAATTTTAAGAGATCTTGCAGTGTAGCAGGTGTGACGAGCAGTGCTAAGGCCAGTCTTGAAGAATGTATTGATGGCCTAAAGCAGCTTATAAGGACAGATGACGATGAAGATGCGTTAGAGGTTATCATTGACTGCATTGTTTCAGAATGATTAAATGCTCCTGCAGCAAAAATAATACTAATAAATGTGCACAGAACTGGCTTACTAAGAGTCTGGCAAACTCTTTCTATCTGGGAAACTTGTTAATCAGTATTTCATTGCATACTTCAGTAGTTGAGGGGTAGAAGAATTTTAATACCAGTCAGTATCCAGCCTATCTATTTTATGTTAGATACCAGAGAATTATTTAGTGGATGTAATAGTGATTTTACAGGTGTTACTGCACAGTATAACCAGGCTCATTTGGAATTAACAGCAACCACATGTACAGGGTACCCATTTTTTTGAAGGAGAGGGTTATTTCCGTCAGTAATAATTCCCTCACCAGCCTGATCAGCTCTAACGGCTGGCGCATGCCACTCTTAAATCTGCTTTTCCTCCTTTCAGGCGCATGAGGATGGTGGGTACATAAAGCTGATTGTCAAGGAGGAGTGTAAAGATCGTGTGCCTGGCCCTGTGCAGAGAGTACTGAAGTCATTCCACACAGAGGTAAGAGAGGTCATTTAAGTTTTCATTTTGGACCCAATACTTCTAGTGGAGGAAGCAGGGGGAAAAACCTGGGATAAAAGGGTTGAGAAATCTCTTAACGGTATTTTAGTGATTGCTTGTGTAACTAACTGCAGTGAACGGGCTTTCTCTTCTCCCTCTCCCGAGGGGCGTCAATTTATAAAAAAGTGAAAGGGAATACAATGCGACAATACAATTCAACACCGGTTAATTGTGAAAGGTCGGCGGAAATTTTCGCATGGAAGCTAACGATGGAGCCATCTTTAGTACCCATAGCAGTGCCATGCCATGGCATTTTGGCATTTTGCAAAAATGATACATTACCAAGTGATAATGGTACATTTCAAAGCATATGACATGGTTTTCCTCCAGCACGATTTGTTAAGTTTCTTTCCAACGTCAGCAGCTTCTTGGAAGAGCACAATGTTATTCGTAATATTTTTCACCCACGCAATTACTAACAGTGTCAGAAGAACCCAGTTTTCTATTTTATTCGTGCGAAAATTGAACACCAGATTGGGCAGGAAGATCTTACCCCACCCACCTGTTTTCTTGCAGCCATGTTTTTTTGTTTTTTGTTTTGTCTCATTTCGCTCGTCGATTCGGGGCACGTGCAATCCTCAGAAGTGTCCTTTGCACAATCGATATCCAAGATGATCAACAATACCTCATTGTAGGAATTCAATGCCTTATGAAGTGAATGTGAATTTTGGTTGACGAAAATGATCAAGAGAAGGGTGAATTTCCCCGAAAAAAAAAAGAAGAAATAGAAGAATTTTAACAGGGTGAACATAGGATACAGTGTTCCTTTCCCTCCAAAACGCAAGCAACCTTTAACGCCGCCATGCTCACGCTCGTTCCAGGCTTTTTTGCCCACCGTGCCGCCTCATAATGAAGTCGAGGATTTGATGCAGGAAAAATGAGTTTCCTGTGCTAATTGAACTGAAAAAGGCTACGTATGTACAGTCTTTTGAATCTGAAGATAATGAGATGAATTTTCCTAGCACTAGGAAAAGATCAGCGAAACGAATTGTGAGAACAAGTAGTCGAGTACAGTACGGTTACAAAGTGCAATAATTAATTGTACTCATTTTCTCTCGCCGGACTAAAGTGGTCACTATTCTTCATAGCTTACCTCGTTGTAGTCTGATAATTATAATGATAGCTATTTATAGCAATTTTATTAAAATATATTTCCTGCTTTGGTGACGTATTTGGCTCCTTTGAAAGTCTTGTATTTCTGAAATAGAAAGGAGGAGCGAAAATTGAGGCACCAAAGTTACTCAGTTTTTCTCACGGTATTTATTTGAATCATATCTTTTTTTTTTCGTGCGACCCCCCAAAAAAATAAAAAGCAAACAGGAACAGAATTTTGACGCAGAACCCGTATAAATGTAGCCTCTTCCAGGCGTTCAGTTAGTTGAGGCGCAGAGCGAAAGAAGGTGCGCTTTTTAATTTTTCGCACGCCGTTTTTCGCGCTGCGCCCCAACTAACTAAGATGAACGCCTAGAAGAGGCTAGTATAAATGATCAACTACACTGTTAAACTTATCCTCAAAAGGAGTAAGCCCTTCTCGCTTAGGGGCCTTGGTGATTGTGAAAAGCCAATCGATCAACTTTTTCCTTTTTCCTTTTTCCTGTGTACTTACGGTAACTACGTCATTCACGTTTGAAAACTTTAACAAATCACTGGTTGCCATGGTGATATTATATAGCGCGCCCGCGCGTGTATTCGCGAAGTTAGCGATATGTAGCGGATGGAACATGGGTTCAGCTGGTAGTTGCAGCAGAGGTGAGCTTCTTTCTTGGTCTCGTTTTGCTCAGTGAGGCAGTAACCTTATTGAATGTTATTATTTTATTACAGGGGAAGTCGTTCAACATGAAATACCAACGTTTAAGGTCGTTCTTGTTGGTAAGTTTCTCAAGTTCGATTCACCACCGGACATGGCCGCTGCGCGCTGTTCAATAAATTATGAGCCGGAGAAATTCTGTTACTAGAGTTTCATAATGTTATTTTTTAAAGTCAACAGCAAGTTTATTCTTTGACGTTGGTTTTTAAAGTTCGCTGCTTTCTTCTTAAGGAAAATACAAATTTAAGTCGGCAATTTTTCGAATGAGCGAACGACTATTTACCAACGATACAAAGCTATTTGTTCAAAGTTGCATTCAAGTTCGATTTAATTGTCTCTCTGAATACCGTAAAGAACCAAAGCCTTAGTTCGAAAAGCAGAGGTTAGGTACGCTAATGGAAAGCTGAAAGTCTCAGTTTTAATGGCTAACAAGTTTACATATTTAGAAGTCTTAATAATACTTATTTGTTTTATGATATGAGATTCAGTAGTCAAACATTTTAAGCTTAACTGCGTTTTAATGATTTCCCAAACTTATACAGATCCTTTCCCGGAAAAAATTAAAATACGTTTTCTTAAAATTAAATTTAGCTGTACTGGTCGCGTCTTCTACCACCAGTTTAAACAGAACAAGCCCATGGGTGGGAAAACTGTTAACTTCCTTGGGATCACAACGAGAGAATTCGAACTCTCCATTGCTCACAATCCATACGTATCACACTGTGTGACAACTAGCATAGGCTTCTTCTTCTGTCCTTGTAGCATTCAGACAAGTGCCTGGTTTCATAGGATTTGTTTTTATTTTCTCGCGTCCATGGTTTTGGCAGTGAACTAAAGATTGGTCCTTATATTTCATAATAATTAAGATTTCTAATCCTGGTTTCAGACTTGTCAATCATAATAGTCTTAGAGAGAATATTGCAGAATGAGATGCAAAAACAGTAATTTGTGAATTATCTAAATGTAAATAAGCATAGACTGCAATATTGTTTCTTAACTGTGGCAATCTGTTTGGCTAGTTTGTAATCAGGTCTAGCAAATAGTAACTTTAAGACCTCGGGACAAAAATATTTTCAGCTAGTGTAGGACTTTCTTATTCTGGCAAATGAATAAGAAATCAAGGCTCTGAGGTAACATTGTTTAGTTCTAGAAAATATCCATACCTCCCCCACGGAAGGGATTTTTTGCAAGACCCCCTACCCCTCTGAAAATTCCAATTAAACTTGATACATTTCTTTAAATTTTTTGGTCGTAGAGAACCCCCCACCCCCCCAGGAAATTCTAATCACTTCTGTGGGCAGAGTATGGATAATTTCTGATACTGCACATTGGGAAATAAAAATTCCAAATGGCAAGGGCTAGCTGTGCAATTATCTGGCATTGGCTTTGTTCTGCCTGACAAATTGGGAGCAGCCAGAGGGATGGGGGAGGGAGGTAGTGTTCCAGTATATACCTGAAAACAAATTACCTGTCATACGCAGCATGCAGGACATGCAATGCAATGCAGGAGAGAGCATGCCCTAGACTGAGATGTGATCCATAATCCATATACTACGGTATTATTAATATAGCATACATGCAAACCCTGTGGTTAACCCTGATAAATTTGACAGTTTAGGATTGGTTTAACCCTTTACTCCCTAAGTGTGCCATTTGGCACACAATGTCATAACTTTGTGAATATTTGAGAGATTTCTATGCATTTTTGCCACAAAAATTGTCTTGTAAAGATCTGCTCATTGAAGGCATAAAATTGTGACCCCCTTTTATCTAACACGTGGTAGACCACCCTCATAATTTTCCAATTTCTCTTTTGAGATGCACATAGAATGCAAGACTTGTTTCACATCAAGCTATATACTAAGACCTGCTAAGGAAGCTATAGTGTAGGGGCATACCCATGATATTTGAGAATTGATACGTGTTGGAAGCTTTTCAGCTTCACATTTAAAACAATTTTTCTCAAAATGACTACCTCCTTCATAGCTGCTGATGTCAGTTCTTAAATAAGCTGATCAGTCAACAATTTTGCCTCTTCCATTCATTTTTCTCCCTGTCTGAAATGATTTTTAATTTTTGACTTACTTTAAGGTGACCCCGAAGTGGGAAAATCCAGCATATTTTTACGCTACACCAAGAATCAGTTTGACTACAGTTATCAGCCCAGTGCTTCTGTGAGTATTGGGAATGTTGTGAAGCATGTCAACATCCCTTACGAGACTATTGTGTCTGTGGCATTATGGGATCTTCCAGGTCGAGAGGAAATGGACTTGAGAAGAAGTTATTACAAAGATGTGGATGCTGCTATTGGTAAGAATTAACTTTCAAATTGGTAGTAGTGTATGTTGATGTCAAGGCCCTGGGAGTGGACAGGGGCGGTTACTCCCTATAATGGCCTATACAAGGAGGCTCTGCCCTATAGAGGAACCTTTTTCAAGCTTCAGGTATATAAAAGGGTAGAGATTTCACATGTTGAGAGAGATAAAAGGGTAGGGGAAAATGTCTTTTAATTATTTAAAAGGGCCTTCAGTTAAAATGTTTCAAGCAGACACACGTTATCACTATATGATTTAATATATTAAGCCCAATATGAAAATGACAAGAAGACTTCCTTTTTTTGGTAATTTATTAGTAATAATATTGGCCCTTCCTATTCAAATTAGCAAGACACTTCATCCACAATCCCTGTTCCTCCTCCCTCTCCCTTGAGCCTAATTTGCCTAGATATAAACTCAGTCAATACAATTGAATCCCACTCAAGGGACACCCATTAAATATGGACACCTGCTTATTATGGACAGTTTTGTTTGTCCTGACATACAGTTCAGACATATTTTTCCCCTTATTTTTGTTAGTTAAAGTTAAGGCATTAAACATAATCCAATTGCTTTTAAACTGTGTTAAATAGTCCTTAATCTGTTTTAGTCTTACTATTGTGGTCATTTAATAGCAACACCCCAATAATAGCAAGTTCAACACTTTTGTGGTTCCCTTAAGTTGGTGTCTGTATTTACTGGGTTTTTCTGCACACATATTTATACGTATTTGGTGTACATCTCTTGCAGTTGTTGTTGATGTGGATGATATTGACTCTGTAACTATGGCAGGAACTTGGAAGCAAGACATTGTCAACAATGCGGTGTTCACTGCTAATTCTGGAAATTTACAGGAGGATACTAAAGATTCTAAACAGATACCCATTTTGCTTTTGGGTAACAAATTGGATAAGGTATATAAAGAAACTGGTTTATATTTTGGTTAAAAACAATGCTCATGACTGTAATCTTTTAGCATTTCTTATGCATGTTTTTGTGTTACCTAGTTTTTTTCCAACTGGCTGCAGGCACATACATGCACCTGTAACATTTTGCTACCACTGTTAGGTCAAAAGTGAACCAATCAATAACATGACCAAATGTTTTTATAGTTATGCAATGTTCACTAAAGTAGATTTCCATGCTGTCAATTCCCATAGGCTACTTTTGACCCGACATCCCTAGAAAAATAACAGACCTCCACCTCTCATGGGTTGTGTGACTGAGAATCGGATAGTTACATTTGTTTTGGGAAGTCCTTTGAAAATTGTAGGCAAGTTATTATTTCATTACATTAAAGAATGATTCTGGGCCACTCCTCAACACTCAGAGAAGGTTTGGCTATGTTATAAATTTCCTCAATTTTGCAGCTTAAATATCAAAATAGTGGAGAGGAGAACAATGAGGATGAAGAACTGATCAATTTAGAGTCAGTGCGAGCACTGGAGGGCGTGGCTTTGCAACATGGCTTTGTTGGAAGGTTGGTAATCAGTCCAACTACTATCCCAAGGGTTTCATTAAGGGCCAGGCACTGTGCGAATTAACCAGCTACATACCTATATAGCCCATATAAGGGAGTACCCCCAAGGAGAGGAACATGGAACACCATATTCTATTTAATTAGTAATAAATACTAAAGATGTCCATTATTGCATACATTTACTCTCCCTCCTGTTATTATGGAAAACTAAGTGTAAAATTATAGCTTTTTATTATTATTATTATTATTATTATTATTATTATAGCTATTGTTTTATTTGCTTGTTTTGCATAATTTTGTTTGAAAATGTCAAAGACAAGTACTGTGGTCAAGACTAGCGACTCGTATTTAAACTGGTGTGTGTTTTGTTTCAGTGTTACAGTGTCAGCCAAAGAGAGTGATAACAGTGTCCATGCTGCAATTCAATCTCTGGTACGACACCTATTACAACAGAAGATGAAGAAAAAGAGGTTTGCTGCAAAAGGAGGGAGGTTTACTAAGAATGAGGAAGAGATGGAGGAGAAAAACTATGTCACCATAAGTCCTTTGGAAATTACAGAAAAAAAGGAGTTCATACCACTTATTGTTACTAAAGTCCCTGAGGTAATTAAATTTACTACTTGTAATAAGTTGTGACATCATAATGGATGATTTAGAAGTTAGTGGCAACATTGTGAAAGACAGAGATGTATGAAAATTTGCAGGATAAACATTGATTGTACTTTGTACAGTTATGTACTGTATGTACTCAAGTTTGGATTTGAGCCATCTGAGATTTTTTTTCCCTTCTCTTCCTTTTTCAACAGAGTTGAAACCTCACCCTCAGCTCCCTACCCTTCTCCAAAGTAGAAATTTCTTCCCTATCCACAGGAAGAGATTTTGAACAGAGGAGGGTTTTGTAGTTAGAAACATATTAGAGGATGAACAAATTAAGTTAGCCATATGGCTAATAAATTGTGGATGCAATAGAGTTACATTTAAGCTTTGGGCAGTTTTGATGTAAGTCTCTTGCACTGGAAATAATTACATGTTACATTTCCAAAGCGAGAGGCTGTCTACTTATTAAAGCCACACACCCATTATGGAAGTCAGCTTTCTTTTTATTGCATACCATAACCTGCTGTTTGATAAATGCCCCCCGCCTGCTTATAAGCCCCTCTTGTTATAGGCCCATCAACCTGTAAATCAAAAAATACATCCGGTTGTAAGCGCCCCACCCACCCACCCCCTCCCCAATATAAGCTCCCCTCTAGCTTCCCTTGTTTTTAATTCATTTTATTGTGATGTTTTAAAGCGTAATTACAAGTAAATGATAAACTATTTTGATCGACATATGCAGCTATGGCTCGTTTCAAAACGTTTTTTATTTATTTCAGTTATAATCCCCCTCGGATACGAGCCTCTCTCTTTACAAGCCCATGTAAAAACCCTTATGAAGTTGTTTAAGCCCAGGGCTTAAAAGCGGCAGTTTACAGTAGTTGATGGGGAAACATGTTTAAATATGGTTTACTTACCTTCTTATCATTTGCTGATATGTAAATTCAAGTTGATTACCAAGGTGAAGTGGAGCTTTGTTGACTGTGAAACTATTTGATTTCTTCCTTGCAGTTTGATGTGTTCTTTGCTGAATGCAATACACCCATCGAAACAGTGCAGAACACAAGTACAGAGCTTAAGGATGCCATGAGCAATTTTAAGAGATCTTGCAGTGTAGCAGGTGTGACGAGCAGTGCTAAGGCCAGTCTTGAAGAATGCATTGATGGCCTAAAGCAGCTTATAAGGACAGATGACGATGAAGATGCACTGGAGGTTATCATTGATTGTATTGTTTCAGAATGATTAAATGCTCCCGCAGCAAAAAAGTGCACAGAACTGGCTTACTAAGAGTCTGGCAAGCTCTGTCTATCTGGGAAACTTGTTAATCAGTATTTCATTGCATACTTCAGTAGTTGAGGGGTAGAAGAATTTTAATACCAGTCAGTATCTATCCTTGTATCTATTTTATATTAGATACCAGAGAATTATTTAGTGGCTGTAATAGTGATTTTACAGGTGTTATCGCACAGTATAATCAGGCTCATTTGAAATTAACAGTAACCACATGTACAGGGTACCCATTTTTTTGAAGGAGAGGGTTATTTCCGTCAGTGATAATTCCTTCCAAGAAAAAAAGAATGATGTGCTTGTCTATCAACAGCCTGATCAGCTCTAATGGCTGGCGATGCCACTCTTAAATCTGCTTTTCCTCCTTTCAGGCACACGAGGATGGTGGGTACATAAAGTTGATTGTCAAGGAGGAGTGTAAAGATCGTGTGCCTGGCCCTGTGCAGAGAGTACTGAAGTCATTTCACACAGAGGTAAGAGAGGTCATTTAAGTTTTCATTTTGGACACAATACTTCTAGTGGAGGAAGCAGGGGGAAAAACCTGGGATAAAAGGGTTGAGAAATCTCTAAAAAGAAGAGATATTCCTAAAGAGGTGGAGAACTGGGAAAAGAGAAAGATTACAATGTTTCGTGATATTTTGGAAGCGGAAAACCATCAAGAGGTGGGAAATAGTAAGGAAGGTACAGCAACAGGAAGAAAAAGGCACGGGAACAGGAGGTTCTGATTTTCCAACACACGTTCTACTTTTGTCACTTTTATATGAAAACCCCTCTTAACCCCTCCCACTCCCCTTTCACTTTCATTTACAAACTTCCTTTTCCCATGTTAGGTTGGTGCTGCATCCAAGAAGGTTCTTATCCAGTCTCCCGGTGCTCTAAACAAACTTCGAGAAAATGAAGACAAAATAAACGAACTTAAACCGACAGCATTTGAACGTGCGGTTTCCCGTGGAATGACTCAAAGAAGAGCCAGAGCTGCGGTGATTAACATCGATTCGAACTGTACCAGGATAGGAGAAGCTTTGGCTGCAGCAATGGAAACCATGACGGCTGTGGATAACGATTATAAAAGAATTAAGGCAGCTATGCTGTGGTAGCTTCTCAGTTGCAACGTTATTTAAAATTGGAGACTTTCTGATAACAGGTTCAGAGGTATAGCCAGGCTTTGGTACACTCGCAAAAGGCCTGACAGTCAGTTCTGGAGGAAGGCTAACCTGCTGAGATCTGTAGGCCTGTTTCCCTCTGAAATTGTAAGATTTAGATTCTTGTAAATGCCATTAGGTCATGGCTGGGGTAGTGCAACAGTTCCTTGCGTCCAAAAATAGTTTGGATTCTTTTAAATGCAATTTACATGTAACTTTAACTATCTAGACTTTAGATTGGTATGGAGTAAAATTTGTTCACCCGGTTTTACAGTGTTGCAGGCTCTCTACGTCTTTTCAGCGAGGTGACAGGCATTCACATAAGGGTATGCTCTTTGGCAAATTACACAGGAAGAGAGTGCATTATTTTGTAACCTAGCTGAAAATGGGTTGTTCTGAAGTGGATCATAACTTTTATTCAATCCATCTCTACTCAACCAAGAATCAAACACGCTGAGATATTACGTACAGAGCCCAAAAAAGATTACGTTGTCTCTAAATCTCTCTACGTTACAGGAAAATATGTTCAGTTGTTGTTCTACACACTGTTTTAGAGACGGAAATTACGGGACAGACCAGTGGAAAATGTTTTAATGATCAAGCTCTAAAGGCATTATTTTTCAATGAGACGCAAGTTGATAATGCAATACAGTAACTTTGACTGATGTGCAGTCTTTAAACTCTAACATTCCATCAACATTCGAGGACATTTTATATTTCATATATGTAAATAGGTGAAGCTGTAAACATCGTCTCTTTCAGGACGTTCTTTGCAGAGATCATTGTCTACATCATGGACTTAGAAATTCGCCTGAACAAAATTGATATCGTTATTTGAAAAAACATTCAAAAATTAGTTTTGTTGCCACAATTGAAAGGGAATGGGCGAAAGCTAACCAAAGCAATTTTAGGCGATGCATTGAAAAGTGCTAACATTTACAGACGTTTGTATCACTGTAGGAGTTCTTTCCTCGCATTCCCACACAGCAATACAAAGAATAGTGTTTTCAGAAGGAACTATCTCCCTGAATACTTAACTCATTAATCCACTCACTCATCTGAGAATGAAGCCAGGATTTCATTCATTTTTCTCCACAGATTGATTTTATTTCTGTTATGCTACACAATTAATATAAAACGTCTTCAGTGACGATCAAATAACGTTATAAAAACAATGAAGTACCATATCGCAGCTTCGTTCTCTCTAGATAAGTTTTGCTTCTAAATAGTTTTAATAGTGTAGTTTTCGTGTAGTGTAAATGACTAAAATTTTATGTTAGGTAACTTATGTATNTACAGTAACTTTGACTGATGTGCAGTCTTTAAACTCTAACATTCCATCAACATTCGAGGACATTTTATATTTCATATATGTAAATAGGTGAAGCTGTAAACATCGTCTCTTTCAGGACGTTCTTTGCAGAGATCATTGTCTACATCATGGACTTAGAAATTCGCCTGAACAAAATTGATATCGTTATTTGAAAAAACATTCAAAAATTAGTTTTGTTGCCACAATTGAAAGGGAATGGGCGAAAGCTAACCAAAGCAATTTTAGGCGATGCATTGAAAAGTGCTAACATTTACAGACGTTTGTATCACTGTAGGAGTTCTTTCCTCGCATTCCCACACAGCAATACAAAGAATAGTGTTTTCAGAAGGAACTATCTCCCTCAATACTTAACTCATTATTCCGCTCACTCATCTGAGAATGAAGCCAGGATTTCATTAATTTTTCTCCACAGATTGGATTTTATTTCTGTTATGCTACACAATTAATATAAAACGTCTTCAGTGACGGCCAAATAACGTTATAAAAAGAATGAAGTACCGTATCGCAGCTTCGTTCTCTCTAGATAAGTTTTGCCTCCAAATAGTTTTAATAGTGTAGTTTTCGTGTAGTGTAAATGACTAAAATTTTATGTTAGGTAACTTTTGTATGTAGCTGACTTTCTGTACACGTTGGACATATTTTACGTCTTAAAATTTTATTTAAATTATTAACGATTTTTATTTTTCTACGCCAATAGCGCTATGCACCGCTGTAAATAAAAACTACTTTTTTAACGAACATCGTCTTACCGTTTATTATACGACCCTGCACATGTATGAATCCAGTGAAAAATAAGCTAGTTAAGAACTCATAGAAATTATATTTGAATAAGAGGGATTTGAGAAGGAAACTACTGGTAAATCAAAGGGAAAAAATAATGCCGAGGGACAAAACGTTGATCAGTAGTGCATTAGTGAATACATCGTCATCCGTCAAGTTACCTTCGAACCTCCACTAACGGCCACCTCTTTTCTGCCCAACTCTACTATGTCCACGTTTTTGTCTTATTTAGGTCCCGGCGGACGGTCCAGTCATCATTATTATCATCATCAGTTCATGCAAATCTCCACAACGGCAACGGACACTTAAGCGGGTCCCAACTGCCAAAATAACCTCTCTTTAACATATGTCCTTATACATGTAATTTGAATCTGGTAACTACACGCCCTGGGCTACATGTCGACTTTTCCTAACTGTGTACATCCGCACCCTCCCCGCAAAAAAATCGGGGAGGGGATCGAGGTCTTCCTCCTGATTTTTTTTTGACCTGACAGTAGCCGGAATATTGGCCGGAGGTCGTAGCAATACGGACCGAGCTTGGCGAGGTCTGTACAAAAACGACTGAGGGTCAACATTCCTGAGTACGGCTATAGCAATTTTACCCCCTGTCTGCAGTCTGCAGTCCACAGTCTGCGGTTTCCTGTTTTGGCGGCGGTTTTTGAAGCCTCCAAATATATGAGAATACTCGAACACTGCATGTCTTTCTCTTCAGCTGAAATTCAAAACTACCAATTGTAGATGTCCCTTTTCTATAGAATGGAAAATTATCGGTTATCTTTTACATGTAATCCTGATATATGATCAACCCATTCCGTTCGCAGTATTGCAGATATAATTCAGGAAGTTTACATGACATGTTTGATGCCGTACTGACATGCGTGGGAACTGGAGCTGAGGTTATGAGCGCGGTTTTCAAAGTGAAACGTTCTTAGTTGTTGTGTAAAGCAGTTTTGTCGGTCATAGTTTTGTTATCGAAGTTGTTATATTTCCTCGCCAAAATGAGGCGAACAACTCTCGGAACCTTGAACATAGGAAATCAGAGTAGACAAGTTACTCGGGAGAAGAAAACTTCTCTTGGACCAAGGCCTTCGATTGGAAACAGGACATCCATTGGTAGACCTTCGACATCAGGAAGACCGTCGCTTGCAAATGCAAGATCTGCAACAGGGAGGTAAGCAAAATTCATGTCATGTTAATCCTTTCCGCAATGTTAACAATTGGTTTTGCGATATTAAGCAAATTAAAAGCGATTCTTTGAGTTTTTCAGCTGAAAAACTGTATACTAGAATATAGCGTTGCTTTGAAAATTAATAAGCTCAATAGATTTGAATCTTAGTTGAACGCACAATTTCCTGTACACACCGTAGTTGTTCTAGTATAAACTACAACCTCGTAGCGCTCTGATTATAAGCATGGTTAACCAAAACCGACGCCTAAATGTTTTCAAATATCTACGTCTCGATCGGTGAGGAAAATCAGGGTACAAATTCAAGCAGGTTTAGCTTGTAAAACTATTGTAACTGGTTCTTAAATCTATTAGGAGGCCATCTAGTCAGTATGGAAGGGAAAACTGTGTGCAAATGAAAGATCCACGACCACTGTCTGACAGAGGTATGTTCCACTACATGTATAAAGAAGACATTAACCCCTGCAGATCGCAAAAGGGTTCCACACAATTCTCATTGTTTCTGAAGTCTTTCTGGTTAGCTACACATTAATTTTTAGCCTTACAGTAAGCAAAGGTACATTTTAGGCATTGAAATTTTCACACTTTGATATCTACTTAGAGGACTGCAGACTGAAAACTACCATGCTTAAGATTGGCATGTCTAAAATCAAATCAAATACTTTGCATTTATACCACAGGATACCAACAGAAGATGATCAGATATCTCATGGAGGTATGCATGCAATAATATTTTAAATTTGAAAATAATTGACCAAGCATTTGCATTATTGGCTTGGTTACAAGGCGGCATTGCACTGTTTTAAAAAAAGATTCAATGTTGCGGTGTGTCTGTTCACAGATGATGTCAAAATGTTGTAAGAACAAAAAAGTGGCAGTGATGTTTTTACCACATTGTGAAATCTGTGATCTAGTACTGAACAGTGGCCACATGTATAGAATCTGCTTGATTTATATAATAGAGAAGCGAAAAAGAATGTTAGCAATGTCATCTATCTGTCTATCCTCCAATAGATCATAAGTAAGAACCAATCAAAATGCAAGAATAATTTGACTTATTATATAAATTGCATTTGATAACAACAAGCATTGTATTGTGTAATGATATGGAAACAGTTGAGTACATTCAGTCTCTTGGGTTCATAGGTATACTTTTATTTTGCTTATTTAACTGTTACAGTCAGTGCTCAAAAACTGGGTAATCATTTACATTACCAGTCATTTCAAGTACACAGTTTATAAATTCATCAATACAGTCATGCATTTAATGAAACACATTTCCTTCTCTTAGTTTCTAACAGAGTTCAATTATCCACATCAAATCTCCATGAGAATTCTGAGTGCTCCGTCAATGAAAGAGTTCTGCAACATTTTCCAGGTATAATTATGTGTCAAGTTAGTTTGATGTAATGTTTGAACTCCACAACAAAGGAAGTGTGCAAAAGCCCTTGATGTGAAACAATCTGAAATTCAATGAGATGATCCCCGAGGATGTTTTCTTTAATATACATCATGGCTGATGGGTACTGTACATTGACTTGATATGTATGTATCATCATCATCTTTTCTTAGTGTGCCATGGGACATGTAAGGCCTTATTATATAATCTCAGCATTAATATTCTTACTTTCACAGATACTTTGAGAATCCATTTGAACTCCAGGAGTTTTCTCTAGAAGTGCCTGAGTGCCACAGGCAACTAACTTTTGACTTTGGGCGACTTGAAAAACTTACTTTTTTCATATAAGCTTAAGTGAGCACTGAGAACGCAGGATTTCATGGTTAGGGTTAGGGTTAGCAAAATATTTCTTAGAACTTGTTACACCCAAGCTTATCACACTCCACTGACATGTACATGTTCTGTTTTTCTTTCTGTTCATTAGTTTCTGTACAAGTATATAAAGGCAGACACCCAGAAAACAACAGCACTGGAATCAAAACCAACAGAGGAAATCCCAAGGATCTTCAAGATGTTGGGGTTTGTAGGCAACAAATTAGATGAATTACACAGATTCTCTAGTAACTCCCCATCCCCAGTGAGGGTATTATAAGATGAACTGATATTTCATTATAAATGCTATTAAGCAAATTTGGTTCCAGATTTGAACAAAGAACTGGTGGGATATATTAGTTTCTAAATAAATAAGATTTTGCAGTATCACCCTATCACTTGATAGTGATTTTTCTTCATTGCACTCTGTTATAACCAGATAATTCATTTTTTTAGTTATTTATCTACCTCTTTGCATGTCCACAGCTACCCATTTACTATTTCAAAGAGTAATTTGTACTCTGTTGGTAGTCCTCATGCCTGGCCTATGGTACTGGGAGCACTTTGCTGGCTTATTGAGCTTATTAGGGTATGTACGTATATCCTGCCCTGGCAGAACTACAGACCTAAGTAAATGAAGTGCCATGCTATAGTATTGTAAATGGTTTGAACCCAGAAGTAGTTCATATAGTGTGATTGTCTGGGTGAGGGCGGCGTCGACAAAACCGGATCGGACCGGACCGGACCGGATCACGGATTGGATCACGGACCGGATCACGGATCACATCACAGATCGCATCACGGATCGGATCACGGATGGATCACAGATCAGATCACGGATCGGATCACGGATCGGATCACGGATTGGATCAAGGAAAAAAATTCAAAATTTTGTTGAGCAAATTACACTAGAGTGACTACTGTGAGCAGAACGTTTTATTTAATTCAGTTGTGATATTCCTTTATTCTTTTATAATATCAAGCCAACTGGGAGCTGGTCACAGATGAATTCTTTTCAGGCTGTTGAGTTTTGACTGCGATGATCAATCATGTCTTCATATCTTTCTCCGCAGTTCAGATAAATGATATTTCGTATATTCACTTGCATCAAAGGTAAACTGTCATAAAATGAGTAAGCGTGGTAATAATAGGACGAACGTATCAATCGAAACACAAAAACTAAAAACACCAAAAAAATTAAACACCTGATGATTTCAACCCATTTCCGTTTCTNAACAAAGGAACATTTGACCGCAGGCTCAACTGCAATAAGAGCTATTCACTTGCATCAAAGGTAAACTGTCATAAAACAAGTCAGCATGGTAATAATAGGACGAACGTATGAATCGAAACAAAAACTAAAAACACTAAAAAAAATTAAACACCTGATGATTTTAAACAATTTCCATTTTTGAGACAAGTCTATACTTTTACAAGATGTGAGTTTGGAATACAATATTTCGCACTGGAATAAAACGAAACAAACCATTTGTTTTTCAAGGAAATATAGCTGTTTTACAAAAAATTATAGGAATAACATCAATAGTGTGAATGATAGTGCAACCCCAGAGTAAACAACATATTAGGAGCTACGTCACAATTTTTAGAGTCATTTTTAGGATTGTAATAGAACAAAACCTTAAAATGATCGTGTTGTAGGATAGAAAACACTTAAGAGGCAAGAACAAATCAAAACGGCATGAGGATCGTTAAGGATGGCAAAGATTAGCGAGGACTGCAAATGATGAACTCGAAAAACTAGGCTAGTTTTTTCAAGAAGCGCAAATCGTGACGTAGCTCCTTTAAAGCAAGCCATCTCCATAAGTTTTCGTACATAAGTTTTCTCATTAACCGTAACGCCAACTGTAACGCTCACATCTGACATGAAAATGTAGCCGAGAATTAGCTACTGATACGGACAACAATTTCAAAAACGAGAATGGGAGGTTCACGCAAGCTTCAAGCCAACTAACATTCAAATATAACTACATCTGCCTGTTCGTTACAATTTAAATTTGTCGTAAATTAAGCAGTTACGTGGCTTTTTAAATGACCTCTTGTCATTCTCTGTAATTAACATGTCATTGCGTCAAATTCGGGATTCTTATTTTCATTTAACATATTTTAGTCTTCCACTTTTATTTTTTATTTATTATTATCTTATAAACAATTTGATTTTTTGGGGGATTTTTTTTTCTTTAAAACTTTGTTTTGTTTTTTTTTCTGTGATCTGATCCGTGATCTGATCCGTAATCCGATCCGTGATCCGATCCGTGATCTGGTCCGTGATCCGATCCGTGATCCAGTCCAGTCCGATCCGGGTTTTGCCGATGCCGTGTTTTATCATGCTTTTTAACTTCATGTCATGAGTTCTCAATGTTTTATCAATGGTAGAGCATTAAAAATAGAATTAGTTAATTAACTTTTCTATGCTAATGTTTACCAATGGGAAACCATTGGAAATTCGCACAATAAAAGTTAAAAAGCACTTAAACCATCGCTTGATATCAAATTTTATGTGCTCTGTACAATGCCGTTATCAAAATGATATGCACATGTTACTGTGACGTCATTATGAGGTCATCTGCAATGGTAAACCATTTTATTGAGGTGATAGAGAGATTTTTGCCATAGAACAGTACGATTTCTGTTTTTTCATCAAAATATGACAACTGAAAAGGAAAAACTTGTAGCCATTGTGTCATGGTGAGAATTGCGTTGATTGACAGTGATATAGAGACTCTTTGAGCACTTTAAAAGTCAAAAAGTGGCAATAAACACCACCTTGAGGGCTAAATATGGATCAATTTATCAATGGGATAGACCAGGTTTCATCTTTGTATTGGAACTTTGTGAGAAAAAAACACTTTCCACTTTTTCTTTATTGACAATTCACTCTGGACCACACATTTGGTGGTTTTGGTAAAAAACATAGGCACACAATTCATGCAAGAGTTATTTTTTGTGAATTGGAGGTAGCAGCACTCACTGGACTCTCAACAGTTATGATAATGTTAATCCAGCAAGTTTTTTGGTTACAATATACAGTGCAAAAAAAAATAGAATTGTTTCACCATAGGTGTAGCTTACAAAACATTCTTTAGTTCTCATTGTGTGATTGTCAATAATCCGTGATGGTAGTTTTGAAAAGAACAGTTGTTGATGACTGACGTTTCAACAACCCAAACCGAAGTCATCTTCAGAGTCAAGTAAATTGTGCTCGTCAGTCGATGGTGTTACGAGTCTGGTCCACTGAAAGTGATCGGTCAGTTTAATGGTATTGGCTGTAAGGTCAGTCTATCTTTTTCTCAAGGGTCGAGGGTCCTGTGTCGAGGGTCAAGGGTCAAGGGTGAACTCTTCCTTAATTCCCCTGGATATTGTAAAAGATCACAGTCAATATCAGACAGAAATTTCTCTCTTGATTTCCTATCATTCATTCTGATTTTCAAAACTGCAAAAGGCAAAATGCCCATACACATTGCTGACTTTGCTTCTCTTCAAGTGTTTGCAGAGTGGCACCAAAACGTTCCCAAGTGGGCGGGTAAGCTTTGAAGTTTGATTGTCAAAACTTTGAATTTTGATTGACCTGCAGTTGTAAGCAATGGGAAGGCCTTTTTTAAACGTTTCCTCCACCGGGCTCTTTATTTGTAATAGCTAGTAGTTACGGTATGTATTTCAGAAAATTTATTCAAAAGTTCAATTGATCATGTGACAGGAAGTCATGCCAACATTTTACCACATTAGGTTTGGTGTTATGACAAAGCAAATACATGTCAATGTACTGAATGGTCATGTAAAATGGGGTTGACAAGCCTTCGATTCACAACTCCTACGATTTGTGGCAGTTGAAAAGAAAACCTCAGAAAAAAATATTACCCTCGACCCTCGACCCTCGAAAAAAAAATAGACCCAACATTATGAAAGGTAAACAGCATTGCCTAATTGAAGACTTGAAACAACCAGACGCCATGAAATCTGCAGAATTTCAGCGGACGTTTCCTTGTCACATTACCCTTCCCATCGCCTGAGAGTTTTTTGGTGACAAAAAGTCAGTTACATAAAAAAAAGTTTTGTCACCTTATGAGAGGCATAAGTTAACCTTTTTTAATGGCATACTGTATTTCCTGAACTGCACAAGGAATCTGTTTCAAAACAAAAGAACCACTGTGTCACCTGAAAGTCTTATCTAATTAATTTGCTGTTTAACTTGCCGCCATGAAGTCTTCAGTAATATTTGAAGAGGAGTCAACGGAGTCGTAGTCGGAATTGTAATCAGAGTCATTAGAGTGTTTACGACCTAGTGAAAATCGAAAATCAAAGTCAGAAGCAGAGTCAAGCTCGATGGAATTGGAGTCAGAAGAATCAGAACGTTTCCATTTCTTACAATTCTGTTTACGACTCCGTCGCTTATGATCCAGTGAAAACTAGATTGTCGGAGTCGGAAGCAGAAGTGGAAGAACCAACCAATCACAAGGCCTGGAATCGAACACTGTGATTGGTTTATTCTTCTGCTTCTACTTGCGACTCCGACAATGCAGTTTTCACTAGATCGTAAGCGATGGAGTCATAAGCGGATGCAGTGTTCTGCTTCTGACTCCGTTGGTTTGATTTTCACTGGAGCGTACCGCTCTACGCTTCTGATTATGACTACAACTCCTTCGCTAGTGAAAACCAGCCTTAAGAAAATCTTTGCTAAGAATGCCCATTTTTATGAATTGCCATTAATGCAAGATATTAAAATGCTGCTGAGGACACTAAGAAAAGATAGGCCCAAACATTTTCTGGACGTGCCACTAGATTGGCTTCTTGTTTGTTTATTCTGACCGTGTAGCAAGAGTCACTGATTCGTCAGTTTTGCAACGGCTATCTTTAAAATAGCAAATGGGGAATCGAGGAATGGGGAATGACCTGCGGAATCTTTAAAAGCGGGAATCTTTAAAACAGGAAATCTTTCAAAGCGGGAATCTTTAAAATGAGGAATCTTTAAAACCGGGAATCTTTAAAAGTGGGAATCTTTAAAACGGGGAATCCTTAAAATGGGAACATTTAAAAGCGGGAATCTTTAAAATGGGGAATCCTTAAAAGCAGGAATCTTTAAAACAGGGAATCTGTAAAATGGGGGATCTGTAAAAGCTGGAATCTTTAAAACGGGAATCTTTAAAAGCGGGAATCTTTAAAATGGGGAATCCTTAAAAGCAGGAATCTTTAAAAGCGGGAATCTGTAAAATGGGGGATCTGTAAAAGCTGGAATCTTTAAAACGGGAATCTTTAAAAGCGGGAATCTTTTAAATGGGGAAGCTTTAATAAAGGGAATCTTTAAAACAGGGGAATCTTTAAAAGCGGGAATTTTTAAAACGGGGAATCTTCAAAAGTGGGAATCTTTAAAAAGTGTTAATCTTCACTGAAAAGTGAGCAGGAATCTTTCAGCTTACACTGGAAGCTGTTTATATATCAACTTAGCAACTACAAATACAGTTGTGGAATTTATTCATTGTAATTATATTGCAC